AATCATTAGTTAATTAAACATTTTTTTTTTTTTTATGAAACTAAGATAATTTGGGGATGTAGGTGTCGTAATGTCGGCTAAATTTAATTTTAGGACTAGGGTAAGTTTTTTATTTGTTCTCAATTAAAAGTTATGATTTTTAAGGTTTATATTATGGGTTTGGGTTATATGATTAATCAATAGTTGTCTCGATAATAAAAGCATATGATGATGTCAATGTGATGTCAGCATAGTTTAACACAATTATTTGTGCCCTATGCTCAAAGACATACTTTTATTTTATAAAAGTGAGGCAACCTAATGCAAAATTTCCTATTGCTCTTAAAATACGTTCATAACATTTATAGCAACGAGATTTGAAAAAAATAAAGTAGGATGACAGGTGTAAAGAAAAATCAACTTGTGAAAGATTGCTCAAACTTAAACATTAATGGGATGAATTGGATGGGTCAGGTGATATATAGGACATATCAAGTGGCTGGTACTCGTACATGAGTATCACTTAGTGATCCAGTACTCCATCACTCACTTCATTATATTCCCTATTTCGCGTGTATATGCAAATCTAATGATTGGATTTATTTGTGTAAATTATTTGGTGATCGTTAACTGCATGCATTAAAAGCAATATTTTTTTTTCCTTATAAATGAAAGTTTACCTGGTAAAACCATGATTTCATGCCACCAGTTGATGGATGTGTGATTTTGGAGTTTGGAACAGCTGCATGAAGCAGGCAAATTAAGGACTGATAAAAATTAAGACTTAGTGAATCCCCAATAAACATTATCTTCTTTCCTCTCATCCTCCTTAGAAAATCCACCCCATCAAACCTGCAAATTTAATTAATCATACAAAATAAAATTGCGATTATAAATCTATGATGTATGTTGGAAAAAAAATATATGTGCATAAACATATTTATACATGCTCTTTTCATAATTAACTAGTGAATTTGTATAACATATAGTTTAACCATTTAATGTTAGTATGTTACATATATATATCCTAAACCTATTAACAAAATAAATTGTACGTATAATAGCACCTAAAACATTAAAAATGAACAAAAACACAAGTTTCATTCTTAGCTAATCACAAACCTTGGAATATCACAGTCATCTGGCTGCCACCGGTACTTGAGATAATTTGTATTTGTGCGACCGTACTTGAGGCAGTCGAATTCTTTGCGAATGTCGGGACATTTCGAGGAATCATACATAGGATATGAATTGTCCCGTACCCAATGACCTTTGAAGATATTGCATTGGTTTAGTTGACGACGCTTTCGTTGTTCAGGAAGATGGTTTGCTTGACTTAAGCTAACTAAGCATGAAGATATGGCTAAGGTTATAACAATAAAGAGGTGCACAATATTATTGCTTAGTCTTCCATTGCCCATTTTTAGAGAGAGCATATATGCATGTGATGGTTATTGTATGTATGTAGTATAACTAATAACATGCATATTTATATTTATATACCACCTTAGATTAGAGCTAATTAACATGTTCATCAATAATTTATCATGCACAACTTGTATGTTAATTTATCAAGGAGGCTGGGTTTGAAGTTTCCTTTAGTTTATTTTTAAATTGTTGATATTATTTAATTTGATGTAGAATATTCAAATGTCAAATGTGTAGATAGTTACTTCCCTAGAAACATAGTATACATATCTTAGATTATTATGATGTTCTTCCAATTTAGAGGAATTTGAGTATGAGTAGATGAGCAACTAACCGCACAAGGCCTTTGAAAATAGGAGCAAAAATTTGATATTTGACTATCATTATCTACAAATTAAAGAAGAAAAATAATGATCAATGGTTTAATTATTGGGATTTGTGATGTTCTTTTAATCGTACTATTCTAATTCTAACCTTCATTTATCATAAAATAGTTAATTTAATCAAGTTTTGTTGTTAATAAAATCATGTTCACCACAATAAATTGAATTAAGGGTCCAATTTAGTAGCATATGGTAACTATATCATTATTGGAAATATTAGCTACACCTATATATTTGTTTTTAGAGTACGTTATATTCACTTGAGAGAAGTACTTAACTAAACTTATTCGATTTTATTACCTTATTTAGTTGTAATTTGAATGGGATAACCCTTATCAGACTTTATTTTACTAAACAACTCAACCTAGGGCCTTTTTTTTCACCTTATTTTCAGTTCGGTTCAACTCCAATAAGTTATGTTCAGTTCTGTTCAGTTCAGTTCAGTTCTTTTCTTAATTTCCTTTTCTCATAAAATATTCAGTTTAATATATTTTAGTTTAGTTCAGATCCAATAAGTTCAGTTCAGTTCAATTCAGCTCGGCTCAGTTTAGTTAATCAGATTAGGCCCTTAATTATTAAACCTGAAATTAGCAAAAATTAGGTGAACAATATAAGTCTTAAAGTAACTTATGTAGTTATATATTAATAATGATCCTTACATAAAACACAATAAATTTTACTAGGGAAAAACTTAATTTTTATTAATCTTCTCATAATAAATAACAATGAAATTAAATTAAATTGAAATTACAAGTATCGATTTTATTGAATTATGCATGAGCGAATAAAAGATATGAGATTAATAAAATAATATTATTGAGATTATATATTTCTAGATCTATGAATTAAGTTTTAGCTTAAAAAAAGTGTTGCAATGGAGATAGTATCACAATAATTTAATATATTGAATACTTTGTTCATTAAGTTTAACTTTTACCATACCACTACTAAAATAAAGTGATACATCTTAACAAAAAGAAATTAACTCAATTATATTGCAATACTTTTCTAAGTTAAACACTTAGGGTCTGTTCACAGTTACTGATTGGAACTGAACTGATTGAAACTGAACTGAATTGAATTGAACTGAATATTTTATGAGAGAAGGAAATTAGGAGCTGAACTGAACTGAAATGAAATTAAGCTGAAGTGAACATACCCTTAATTAATTATAATTTTATTAATCTTAATCTCATAATTATTTAATTTATTTCATATTTTGGAAAGAATAATTAGTTTATTTCTCTATGGTTTTAAATAATGAAAACGATAATATATAGTTGACTAAAACTTCTATTTTTTCATATTATTTCCCAATACGTTTAATAATTCAATTTAAGGCAAATATCGAAACAAAGCCAACCGTAGTTGATGAATGTAGTTACTTAAAATAAGCTTAAAAAATCAATGAAGCTAGATAACATTTGAATGCACGATTTTGTTTGAAATGCAAAAGTCGCAAAGTATTATCTTGTCCGAATGCAATCACATGCAACACATGATTAACAGCTACTAATAATAATATAAAGCTACATCATTGGGGCGTTTTATTGTATATTTTTTTTCAATGTACTCATATAGTCATATAATCATGTTCCTTTTTTCATATAGTTTTGCTTAGTCCTAGGTAAATGGTGTAATATTTTGTTATGGCTAATTTTTGCAGACAAAACGTAAGGAAACTCAAATGCCCAAGAATTTTTTTTTTGGAAAACTTGTTGTACCTGAGTAGGATAAAGAAAAATCACTACTACGAGCGTGTTCACTTTACCTTAATTTCAGTTCAGTTCAATTCAGCTCCAATCAGTTCAGGTCAAGTTCAGTTCAACTCCAATCAGTTGAGCTCCTAATTTCTTTCTCTCATAAAATTAATATTCATTTCAACTTCTAATTTCCTTCTCTCATAAAATATTCATTTCAGCTCAGCTCAGCTCAGCTCAGTTCAGTTAAATTCAGTTCAGTTCAGCTCCTAATTTCCTTCTCTCATAAAATATTCATTTCATCTCTATTCAGTTCACTTCAGTTCAGCTCCAATTAGTTCATTTCAGTTCAGCTCCAATAAGTTTAGTTCTATTCAGATCAGTTCAACTCAGTTCAATAAATGTGAACAGACTCTATAAGGGATGTTTAATTTGACTCAAGAATATAATAGGGTAACTACCTATTACAAGTTAGACACTGCAAAAATTATCTGAATATTGAAAATTTAAAGTTTAATATTCAAATAATTGGAGTTTAGACTAGTTTGCTTGGACTGATCAAACCAGACCAATATTAGTCCATAACCCAAATTGGACTGGTTTTAGTTAATTTTCCAATAATTTAAAATATTTATATATAACATTATGTTAAAAATATCTGAGAAAAATGATTATTTAATGTCTATTTTGAATTTAATTATTTTTCTTTTTTAAAAAAAAAATTCTTTGTCCTAAAATAATTGACAAATGAAGCTTTGTATAGATGTCAATGCAATAATTTGACCCTATTTTAACATAAGTAAACATTAATGAAAATTATTTATATATAAAAAAATGTATTATGAAACTTTATATCATCATCAATACCTCTAACATCATATTTGATGATATAATATGTTGTTATTATGTTAATAAAAAACTATAGTCAAAGGTAATTTTTTGAATAGTCTCGATTATTCTAGGACAGAGTGGTAATATACATATTAAAGGTAAAGTTAAATGCTATTCAGATTTTTTTTTTCATAACTTTAGATAGACTTGGCAAATGGATCATTCGGGTCGGGTTAATTAACATTCAAGTTGGGTCATGTCATTTTGGGTTTTGGATATGACTCAAGTTAGGTATCGAGTCAAGTTCTCGTCAAGTCAATTTCGGGTTGGGTATGTTCGGTCGGGTCAGACCATTTTGGGTGAAGTATGTTCGGGTCAAACTCGACTCAGTTCAAAATTAGGTTGGCTTATGTTCAGGTTGTTCAATATGTGGATCAAACTCAAATCAATAATTATATATTTTATTATTGTTATAATAAGAACTATCAATTCGGTTTATGAGCTTGGCTACGGTTGAAGATAGACAATTTGATGAGTTATTTTTGACACTAGACATTTTTAGTTCAATTATAAGATAATTTTGTAATTCGGGACATTTCAGGTCGGGTATCGGATTTGTTCAGGTCAATTTTGGGTATTGGGTTTGTTTGGGTCAAAAATTTCGAGTCAGGTCAACTTCGGGTCGGGTATGTTCGGGTGTCAGGTCGGGATTGGGTCAACTCCATTTTTAGGTCGGGTAAATTCGAGTGCTGGGTCATTTTTGAGTCGATGTTTTGGGTTAATTTGGGTCATGGGTTAGGTTATCGGGTCTAGATCAGAATTGTCAGGTCTAACTTTAGATGAAGGCATGAAGCCCAATCCGGTCCAAAATCGATTTTGAGATGCTATAAACCGGACTAAATACAACTGAGCAACTGACGATGGGAAGTAATTTCTTGACATGAAGACCGGACCGGGGTCGATTCGGACCCACTTTTTTTTTTTTCTTTCTAAGTTTATGATCTTTTCGCTTCTACCGTTATACGCTACACTCCTCTCCGATCTTCTCCCCTCCACTGAAGCGCACTCTGAGTTCTCCATTAAAGCGGTTTCTAAGCTTTCTCTTCTCCATCTAAGATGATTCTGAGGTTAGTTGATTGTTTTTTGTTTTAATTCTTCGAATATCAATTTCTCAATCTAGGTTTTGATATCACACTAAAATCAATTTAAGGTTCTTCTAATGTGGATTATTAAACTATTGGTTATAATTACCGAAGTCATGATAACTTGTAAGCACCGATTTTGTTGCTAGAATCTTTTCTTCTGCAATTTACTTTGACATTCTTAAGTAACAACAATTTTGAGTTTAATTTTATAATTGAGTCAAATTTGATTGTTAATGTGTTAATCTTTCCTAGACTAATCACCTCCACGAGTCGAGTTGAGCCGAACCGAGCTTGCGCCCGATTAGCTTTGAGATTTTGTTGTGAATTATTGTTGTTTGGTTCCTTAATTCGATGTTTAACAAACAGTTTAAGGTTGTAAGAAACTTAAGACTAATCGTCAGGAAATATAAATATTAGCGAAATGAATTTATGCTATCAATTTGAAATTTCTTACATACACCCGGGTGCAAGATGCACTCAAGATTATTTTTTTCGCTCATTTGATGATTAAATGAGTTTTCAAATTGAGCAGAAAAATACCCTTGGACACATATTGCACCTGGTTGTATATAACAATCTCTGCAATCAATCGCTTGATTGCTATTCACATTTGAACTTTTAAATGTCACTGCTATTGATTAATTAATTTGAACATCAGTCTCTTTTACATCCTTTATGTTTCCTTAAATTTTGATTCACCTTTCTATATATGTATTCAATAGCTGACATGGAGGAGGATCAGGGAGTAGCTGTTACGGCATCATCTTTGGTAGACACGCCTGTTTTAGATGATGCTGAAGCTGGTGAATTATCGGCCACTGATAGTAAGTGGAGTTCTTATAATCCTACATATACAGAGGTGTATTATTATTTGATTAAGGAAGTTATGGTTGTGCCAAGCGTAAATTTGGCCAACAGCTGTTTAAATTTTGTGTCGTCTGTTCTTAGATATGCGTATGAGAAATTGGTAATTGTATGGGTTCGCTCACTTAGTGAACTTGATGGAACTTTCTTACTTCTGATTCAAAACATGATAGTCCAAGATGAGGTAGATTCTTGGCTATATAACATTGTTCAAGACTTCCATTCTTCTATTGTGTTGCAAAATTTTTTGTCTATAATTATTAATTAGTGGGCAAGAGATTCATTTTCCATGGAGGATGATAGTTTCAGGGGTGATAATAGATTGTTTTCTTCAGCTTTACTAAATTAGGCTCTTAGAGAGAGTTTTGAGCTGAGGTTTTTATTAAAAATGATTCATATACGCTAAAGCATATTATAAATGGTTGTTTCTTTGGATTGAGCAATGTGTGGATCGTTATACCTCTGTAACGGATTCATGTTAATAATAATGAACTAGACTCTTTTAGTTTTTGAACTTCAAGATTTATGTGGACAAAATTATGTAAAAAGTTGAACCAAAATGTTCAAATCAGATAGGCAATTGTGCATAAAGAGACTTGTTAATTGTTAATGTGGTGTTGTTATTGACTGGCGTTTTTGTTAAATTAGTCTAGTTGGAATCTAAGAGCTAAGGATGATTGATGTTTTGCTTGCGAGTTTCAGAATCACATGGAGGTAGCTTATCAGATGATGGAGTTTGGTTGACTGACTGTGATGAGGAAACAGATGAAGCTTTTTATTTGGATAGAGAAGGGAAAAGGAGACGTGAGGAATTCTACAACGTATGAGTTGATTTGTTAAAATTGTTGATTTTAATTTTTTAATATCTTAATTTGTCTGGTTTCCCTGTATTTCTCTCTACACCACTTGTACCTAGCTGAGTGAAATTCTTTCTAATGATTTGATAGGCTGGATATCGTGATGGTTTATCAGCTGGAAAAAATGTTGCTGCACAAGAGGGTTTTAATCAGGGTTTCAAGGATTCCGTGATGATTGGTAACAAGTGGGGCATTGTTAGGGGTGTTACCAGGTAAAGAGCATCTAGGTAACTATGAATTATATGGTACCTTTCTATTTTTGGTGATGTTTTTTATGAGTCATTTGGTCCCTTAAATTTCTTAAAAGCTATCTTTCCTTATTATCTGTCCACTTGAATTGTCATATTCCATATTATCTGTCACAAGAATGTTCTTCAGTTCAAGAAACCATTAATGCCAATCCTATGACTAATAACTCGTTACAATGTGGGCATAACTTGAAAAGACAATGTTAAGCAATGAAGTATTTTTTCTGGTAATTTGAATTCTTTTCAGTTCCTTTCTTTATTCTGCAATCTTGTTGTAGTGCCTTAGCTCATATCCCGAATGAGCTGAAGCTGAAACTTGTTGAAACTGAAGATAAGGGAAAAGAGTTTCAAAACTTGTTTGTGGCTGTGGATTCTATTGGAACACAAGATGCATTGAAGCTCTTTCATGATTATATCAAGCGAGGAAAATCAGCAGAAAGAAGGAATATTGCTGAGTCTGAATCCTCAATCTCCCATCCAACTGTTACCCAACAGAGTAATTTGGAGAGTTACTTTGAGAAGCTGGACTTACTGTTAAGAGAATCCCCCATGGTTGATTTGCAATTGGAATTAAATAAACTCAGAGTGTCTTAAGGTTGTAGAGTTGTAGCTGCATTAATGTTATACCTTGTACTGGTTTTTAAGGACGCAATTTTTGTCAGCATTTTTTGTTGTAGTGAAAATGTCCATATTAATAGAAGGGAGTGAATTTTCCATATTATTTCTAATATATGACAATACAAAGGCCTTCCACAAATTGTTTTCATGGTGCCAGTTTGCTGCTACATTTCCTCATTTAATCTTCTTTAAAATATCAAATTTACTTGAAACAGTTATTATTTTATGATTATATTACTTGAGATGCATATACAATATACATGCATTGATTGGTTGATTAGGAATTTAGGAATGAGTAAATGACTGAATTATTGTATACAAAGGCTTTTATTTTCTTGAAATAATGTCAATATCTTTAATTAAGAAAGATAGGACAAGTAACAACTATTTTTTTGGGGTTGGGGTTGTGGGGGTGGTTGGTCTGACCAACTAACTCTTTAAGTAGCTTGTTGAGGAATTGTTTTAGATATCTATATCAAATCAAGTCGAGATGGAACAGTTGACAGTTTTAATATTGGATATCGGCACTGTAGTCGAGTGGTTTCTGCAGTTCCATTGGAATCGGACTACTTATTGACAGCATGCAACATCTTCAGAACAATGAACAATAAACAGAGAGAGAACAAGTACATGAGATGCCTAGAAGAAAGGATTAGAAATCACAGAAATGCAACACATTTTTCACACAAACCCCATTATATTTATACTTTTCTACAGGAAACTTGTGTTTTTATTTATTTATTTAAGTTGTCAGATAAATTATAACAGTACATGAAAAGTTATACTGCTTAATATTCTGATTGGCCTTTTGCCAGACAGCTGAGCAGCAGATCTTCTTCTTACTAATCTATATGCAAGTTAAATTAGTAGATGGTAGAATTTACACATCATAAACTAGCTGGAGGAATGTCAAGCTTTTCATGGTCAGATTCTGATGAATTTTTCCTCATGGATTCATCCTTTGCTACTGGCAGTACAGTTTCATAGGCTTCAACTAGTAATGCGACCTTCCTCTTTTGAGAAGGAGTGAGTTGGTTGACTGTCTTCTGCAGTGCATGATCAAGCATCCATTCCTCTGCATTTCTCCTACCGTCAATCTCTTGGTGCCTCAGATCCACTTTCTCTGCTTCTGGATCAGGTTCAACATCAAGAAAATTTGGCCCTCTTGGATTGAATTGACTCTCTTCATCATCTTCATCTGCTTTCATGCATCTCATCCCTCTCTTTAATTTGTTACAGCTGTTGAGCTCCTGGTTGCCATCAGATTCTCCATTGTTGGAAGTGCATCTGCTGGTTGCTTCTGTGCTGTTACTGTTTTCCATTCCTGATGCTTTATCTCCTTCAACGTAGTTCTCATTTGATTCAAGCTCACTTGAATCATTTTCATCTTCACATTTTTCTGATCTTGTACTGAAACAAATCTCAACTGCAGCTTCATTCGCTTTCTGTCCTGCACGGGTTGCAAAATCACCACTGTGATCTGTACCGTCTTGATCATCATTATTGGCCGTGCAAATTCCCTCCTTTGCATCAGAGGTTTCTAATTTCTCAGTTGTTTGTGGCATCTCTGTAATTTCTTCAATTGGCTCTCTTTCTTCCATACCAGGGTCAGCAGCATTTTCTTCTCTGGCTTCTCCTATATTGTAGTCTTCATCTGATTTTTCGCATTGGTCACCCTCTGTTTTAACTGGTTCCTGGTAAGAATCGAGACCTTTGTCTTGAGCCTCTGTAATTTCTTTGATGAGGTCAGTGATAATTTCGCCTTTTGTGTTAGTGGGCTCATCTACCTCGGTGTTAAGTTCAGTTGCTTCATCTGCTAGGGTAGAATCCTCCTCAGCTACCTCATTCTTTGCTCCAGAATTCATTTCATCCTTTTCTTCGACCATAAGTGGCTCTTCTATGTTCCTTTCACCTGAATCAAATGTCAATAAGTCAAGCTGCTGCAATTATCAACCCACATCAATTTCACTATGTGAATAGAACCTGACATTATCTGAAGTGCAGCTTAAAAATTACTACTACATCTGATTGATTGTCGAAACTACACTTTTATGATCTTAGAAAGCTTACTTTCATAAGAATGCAATGTAACCCTATACTCCAAAGAACTAGGCATTATCTTAACATTTTATAAGATATGTCTTGCTATTATTTTTCATGCTCCAAATAAAACTAGTATAGTAACAAACTGTGAACTTATTTATGTGTCAAGAGTAAAACATTATGATCAAATAGAGAGAATACCTGTCTGGGCGGACTTGCAATCTGGTAAAGAATCAGCATCACTGAAACATAGGTACTCCACAATTTCGTCATCAACATATGGTGGGTATTCATGACATGTCTCCAAGTACCCGCCATGGCTACTGCCTGTCTCAAAATCAGATTTATTTTCATCATAACTGCAATCGCTCTGAGCGTGAATTTCACAGTTGTCATTGACACAAGTTTGCTCCTGTTGTTCCCACTCTATGTCAGAGTTTCCACAGCTAAACTCATCCAAACTGACACTGGGAGAGCTCTCAACCTCTTGGTAACTCTGAACTGTTATCAGTGGATAATCTTCATCTTTAGGACAGAAATTCAAGTTTGAATAATTAGGTTCTTCACTTTGATCAATCTCAGAACATGGTCCATCTGATAAGCTCTGAGACACTGGTGTATCAACCCCTCTGTCTGAGACATAAATTTCGACAAAGAAATCCTCCTTTTGTTCCTGTTTTCCTTTCCCCTTACATTCAGATAGCTTTGCTTTATGAGGGGAAAGAACTTTCGGTGTATCAACCTTCTGAGTCTTCAGCAGCCTCCGTCTTGTAGACATGAAACGCTTCAGAGGAGGCGCAGGGTTATGGTGATCACCATTAAGGGAACAATGATTATATGAGCAGACTCTTGGTACTGATCTTCCTTCAGCTTCAGTAGCCCCTGGCTTGAGTTTAAGGTAACGAGGAAACTTCGAATCTTTCAGGGTTGATGAACAGGTTGTTGTTCTTGCACAGTGCTTAAAGCTAGGGACCTTTGATAAAGTCCTTACTATTTTATAACTAGATGATGTTCTGCTCAATGTTTTTGCTACTTTCTGCAGTCTTTCCTCCTTCCTTGCCTCATAACTACGTGTACTCTTCATATAATTTGGAGAAGTATCAGAAGACTTACTTGATGATTGTGTTTTGGGGGTTGATGACCCAAGAGAGGGTGGTTTACCAGGACGACGAAGCACATCATGGCTGCCTTTCGACGATGATCGGAATCCAACCTCGATGGACCGAGATTTCTTCATCTTTATTCCATTCATATCAGCCCCTTTACTCATATTGCCATTATGGTGGTTTTGAAGAGAGGGTTTTGTGTAAACCTGTATTTTCTCTGTTTTAATGATGTTATTATTTCCCACCTTTCTTTGGACCATCTTCAAAGATATGAAAAAGATTAGTTTTTGGGTTGCTTAAAAAAAGAAGTTCGTTTAAGGCAAGGCAAGGCCAAGTTTTTCTTGCATAAACAATCAACCTAAGATGCTTTTTCCAAATTTTAGTTTGTTATTTTAGTTTTAGTCGGTCGCATTTTTTTGTCCTCATTTTAACTGTTTTTTATTTTTAATTTTATTTTACTTTTTTATTATAATTTTTTTAAGGTGTCAACTTTGAAAAAATGCTTAAGATAAGGAGCATGATGCCGACTTTTAAAAAATGGGTACTTTATTTTCTAAATGGGTCCACTTTAATTGCATTGTTTTTGCACTAAATGACCTTAAAAATCCAGAATTAAGGGCATCTTTTGTCTTTCTAGAATTTTCGAAATGATGGTAAGTAAAGTAGTGGTTGGTAGTGTTAGGCTTTTGATGACCTATACTTTATGACTTTACCTTGGTATATATTATGATTAATTAAGCATAATCTTTATTTAATTATTGATTTTTTTGCTTGTTAGTAACAAAACCAATTGAATCTTTGTAACTAAGACTATATCCTCAATAAATTGTTTCCTTGGTCGCCAATATCTTATGCGATCCTTGTTCATATCAATATCGATATCCACACCGTGGCTCCTGCATCATTTTACTAGTTGTATTGATGGTAATTTGTAACAATAGATAATTTGGGTGAAATTTGTTTACTCTAAACAGTGGCGGATCTTGGACGAAAATATTGAAGGAAGCGAGATTTGAGCCTTGAACCTCTTGCTCAAAAATAATATTACCATGTCCCAAATTTTTTTTGTAAGTGTATTAGGTTAATTAAGTTCAATAATTACTTAATCAAATAATTTATCAGGGGTCAGACTCAGAATAACCCTGGTGGAAGGTCTCCCTTTGAAAATGAAGTACTCGTTTCCGTTTCCGTTTCCATATGGAGTGTTATTCAATAATTGTAGATGTAAAAAGTAATAATCAATTGAGCTGATATCTTGTTGGATCGGTTTACAACATTGTTTTAGTATAGAGTGCATGTGATAATCTCTTAAGCCTTAATCCTTAAGGTAGAGATATTAATTACAAATAAGTCCTACTTCACTTGGTCATTTACACAATAAGTATGTAGCTTTTCAAAATCAAATAAATTTGACAAAGACGTTATTTGTCGATCTTCTTTGATTTTCTCTCTAACCTACTCAAACTCTTGTAGTGTTATTCACTCTTACAACCTCCCTTTTTTACATTTTCAGAGAGGCCTTGCTATTTTGCAAATCGTTAGGTTTCGAGAACAAATCTATGTATTTAAATGTTTTTTTGTCCGTTTGAATAAGTTACAATGATAATACAAATTATTAGGGGTGTACAAAAACTGGACCGGACCTGAAACCGGACCTGAACCGACCTGATCCGGACCGGACCTGACCCGGACCTGTTGATTCAGGTCCGGTCCCGGTCCTTAAAAATCAAGGTTCCCGGTTCCGGTCCGGACCCGGTCTAAACCCGGGGTTTTCAGGTCCGGACCTGAAACCCGGAAAAATTGTATTTTTTAAAAAAAAAAAAAAAAAAAAAAAAATTCAAAAATCAAAATTACGCTGCAACCCTAACAAACAGCTATCTGACTATCTCCATTCTCCATTTCTCCAAGACTCCATTTCTCCAAGACTCCAATCTCCAATCTCCGCCGACACCTCCTGCCTTCCTCACTCTCTCAGGCGAAGCCCCTTGCCCTCCCCCTCGAAACCCCTAACATTCACTCCTCCCTTGAAAACCCCTAACATTCACGCAATCACGCCGGTAAGTTATTTTTGGGGTTTTTGGTGGTGAGATTCTAGAGCTTATCTTGAGATCTTGCTGGGCAACAAAAAAAGGAGAACTTTTTGAGCAGCAGAATAGCGAAGAACACCGAAGGAGGCTTGGTTGGGTTGTTCTCTGGGCTAGCGAAGCTGCTGCAAAGTAGCAGAGCAGCGGCGGTAAAGCAGTGCAGCAGCGGTGAAGCGAAGCAGCGGACGGAGAAGTCGAGGTGACTTAGCTGTGTTCTGTAATCCTTCATTTTCTACGGGAATTCAGAGGCTCTGCTTTGATTTTTCTGGGCTGGCAGAACAACGGATCTGTGAAGAAAACCACCTAAGTGAAACAGCAGCAGCGGTGAAGCCGTTTAGTTGGAGTGTCGTTCGTGGTTGCTCTTTCATTGATTTGGTATTCTGAATTTAATTGATTATTTACAACTTTTGCATGTAGAATTTCAATTAATGAGTACTTTGCTAAATTATCTAATTATGTTTGGGTATTTTGTATTCGAAATAATGAATTAAGGTTTTTTATTAAAAAAAAAAAAACGAAAAAATCACAAAACAGGTCCATTCAGGTCCAAACCTGGACCGGACCTGATTTTTCAGGTCTAGCCCGGAACCGGACCTGTTAATTCAGGTCCGGTCCCCGGTCCTCATAATTACCCAATTCAGGTCCCCGGTCCAAACAGGTCCGGTCCAGGTCCGGTCCGGTTTTGGACCGGTGTACACCCCTACAAATTATAATCGAAGTTGGAGAGATTTGAATATCTGATGTATTAAAACAAGCTCTTATTAAAAACTAAGATATTGTTGAATTAGTTGCCTCTTTTACATATGAGACATATAATGTATAAGTCCTAAAAATCAAAACTTTGTATTTGGACCTAACCTAATCTTGGCCTAATTATTAGTTGTTTCGGGTGAAAACAATGGGACCTTCGGATGGGTCCTTTTCGGTGGGCTGAAGACTGAACTCGGTCCAAGTGATGACTGGGCCGAGGGTTTCCTGCACAATAAACACACGTAAACTGGCCTTGGGAGTTATGCCGAGGAAGGCCCCTCCGATGCCGAAGTCAATATGGTGATTTTAGAGAGAGAAAGCTATGCAAGAGTATTAATTGCTTGAGGCTCTAAGTGAATGAATGTAGAGAGAGAAGATTGAATTTTTTATACCTTGACATAAGGGAGAATATGGGCCTTGAATCAAATGGGCTTGCCATATTGACTGGGCCTTTAACTGACTTGGCATGGATTGGAGGATTGAACCTTGACCTTGGGGTTGAACCATTTATGGACTAACCCAACTGGAGTAAATTGGACCCAAACAACTTGCCCCCCCAGACCCGATTTGGAAGCATGACGGGTCGGGTTTTGACTTGCATAAAATGGAGGGAAGTAATTGGTTTAATTAGGAATTTTAATTGGACAGTTATTGATGAATAACTGTTGTTTGGAGAGTAGTTAGCGAAGTGGAAAGGATTAGTGGGCAGTTTAATTAAGTGAATGGTATTTAACGGTTATTTAGAGTGAGTAGTGGGGATTTAATGGCGCTGACTCCCAGAATTCCTTTTTTAGGAAATATTTAAGCCAGATGCCCTTCTCTCTCCTCATTTCTTTGCCAAACACCTTTGAATTCACGACAAACCCCATTGCATCCTTATACTTTCGATTTCTGCTTATTAGTTGAGATTTAGCCTCTAAAACGCACATTCGTTGCCCCAAACTCATAAATCTGTCAATTTCGCTTCATATAAAGGTAATTTTTCTCGAATTTTCTTCGGTTTTGGTTGATTTTTGGGTTACCCTTGCTTTTTCGATTTTCCCCCTTTTTTCGCTTTCTTCGATATTCCGGTGACCAGAATGGCTAGAGGTCAGAGACGACAACCAAGAGAAGCGGAGGGTGGTGAGGAAGAGGTTCCTTGGCCTCAGCTTCAGCGTGCTGGGCCATTGAACATAATGCCCCCTTTGAGCGGGCAAAACCCTCATCTTAGGGAGAGGAGAGAGGTTCCTGCTGAAGGAATTAGAGCAGTGTTGTTGTCTTTGGTGTCTCTCCGAGGGACGGGGGAGGCTAGCACTTTTAGCCGAGGCGAACGCTAGCTTCGGGGCCTTGGGATTTTCCCCTAGAAGCTGAATAATGGGACGACGTGACTCGGAACTACGGGTTGATGACGTCCGAACCCTACGGATGGTGGGTTAATAATGGTTCGGCTTACCGCTTTGCCGAGCAAATTGAGCTCTTCTATGGCATCATGGAAGAAGATGGGTACTGGTGTCGAATGCCCAAAGCTGAAGATCGAATTCATTGCCCTCCCCCTGTTTATGTGGGAGTACATACCTGCAGCTGAAGTACGTGCTTCGGTTTCCTCTACACCCTTTCGTGGTAAAGGTGTTGAATAAACCGAATCTCTCTATGTCAATTAACCCCAGTCAGCATCCGAAGGGTCATGACATACCTCTAGGTGTGCCTTTTTTACGCCCTCGAGCCGAACCTACACTACTTCAAAAAGCTGCACAAGCTTGTGCCGAACCTTCAAAGCGATCATGGCGATCATGGTGCTGGGTGGTGGCGTATTGAGAGCGTAACAGGCCATCTCACTATGTGGCCGAATGATACTTTGGAAAAGGATTGGCGAGGCCAATGGACGCCCTCCGATGCTGATCACCGAAACTTGAGAAAACCTGATCCGAAGATGGATGATTTGGGTCCCGAAGAGGATGGGGCTGCTAGGAATCCTAACTATATTCAACTGAAACTCTTCGGCAAGAAGAGGAATCCCGGGGGAACGGGCCGAATGTTATATATGCCCGAGACTTGGCTGCCCTGTTTCCACTACACCTTCCAGGAGCACATGCTTGTTGTCGTCGGCCTCAGACAAAAGTACCAAGGTGGTAAGAAGCTTCGGCTGGGGCTGAGGACTTTATTTTTTGTTATTTGTCTTTGCTGTCTGTACTTTCATCGTTTATTTATTTTTTGCTGACTCATCTGTTTTTTTAGAGCTGTACGAGGGCAACGCCGAGGTGAACTATAAGCGCTTGGGATTGACGTCAGCCGGATTGTGACGAAAAACAAACCCGATATCACCCCGTCGAAGGACTGTCCCCTCTCCTTACACTAAAAAGGTTTACGATAACTAGTGTCGCTGACTATCTGAAGCAGAGGCGTTGGTGGGAGAAGAAGGACCCTTTCTTCCGCCTAACTCCCGAAGAGGAAGAAGCTGCTGCTACTGCTGCTGAAGCTGGGACTTCGGCTGCTGAGGAGGCGGCAGAGGTTGCTGAAGACTTCGGTAAGCTTTCCAGACTAAGGCATTATTTTAAGCTTGTCTCATGCTGCCTCTTGCCCCCCTGTCCTCTTCTGATGCAGGACGAGGAAGAAGAAGAGAGAGCAGACTTCGTCGAGGAGATATCTTCAGACGGTGAGGGCCTAATGATGCGCCGAAAGAGAGCTGTGATCAACTCTGAGCAGTTCGTGGACGCCCCTCTATCGAAGAGG